TGCTTGTAGACCACACAAGTGATATCTTTTTGCCTTCCAGAGCCAAAGCACCATTGTGCTGGTATATGGTCAGGATGTTGATAATACAAGTTAGTGTGATATAATTCTGAATGCGAATTTCTGCTCCAGACATTGCTAAAGGAGGAAACGGAGGATGATGATATGTGCTTGCTGTTAAACGCCAGCAAGTTTAAGGTTGGTTCCTATCAAAGCAGGCTATACTGAAAGATAATGCTTGAAGAAGGGATTTCCAAAATAGTGTTTGCAGGTAATTATCCCTATAAAGTAAAGGAGAAGGATGTGATAGTAGCAAGAAGAATGTTGCTGCAGGCTCATTACCTCTCTAATGACTTGTAATTGAGCAACATCTTTGGAAAAGTGTCTGCTTGCTCAGTAGTCTCTAGCCACCTTGGCTCTAGACACCCAAAAGGTATTTGTTCCCCTGTACATGCATCAAAAGGCTTTGGATGCAAAATCAGGTAAGGCAGATGAAAATGATGCAATCCAGGTTAGCCTCTGTGGGCAAAGGAGAAGGAACAAAGGATATGAAGGAGGAAGGAAAAAATTTGTTTCGGATAGCATGGAGGGCAAGCTTATTAGAAGACATGAATATCTTTTCCAGGAGTTGGACCCCAGTGAGGGGAAGGCAGATCCTTCCAGCTCTGCCCTCTAATGCCAGCTTGACCCTGACTCATCCACATTTACTGTGAGGTCCCTGAAACACGGGCCCTGTGTTTTGAAATATTATCATTTCCAGAGATGGAGCAGTGTGGAAAGACTTTGGGGGAGCTCACCTGTATTTTCCTGTACTTTCAGGATGTTGATGGATGGAAATTTGCTTCTTATCTATATTTTTAAGAAGCACATTGCTTTAGAGCAACAGATTTATATCATGAAGAGTACAACAGACTCATACCTAAAAAAAGAAAAATCCTAACAGAAAGTACATGATATTTTTATTGCATGACACTGAACTAAGCAGGATTACTCAGTGTGTTAGTCCATTAAGGTCTTTATGGCTTCCTCTGAATGTGAACTGAATTTTTAAGGCTGGAATTGGATCTTCAAGGACAGGAGTTGCATGATGCAACACTTGTGCACAGTGCCAAAGAACAGGTTACATAGTCTTCTTCATTCTTTTGTGACTATAAATATACTGTCTCAGTATTCTTCTAATACTTAAGTATCACATTAAATTACAAACAGATGTTCCTGTTTTGCAACTACAGTTCTAGTGCACTTATTTAAGTGGCTGTTCTTATACTTGCATTGTGCATGATGATGCCTGGAAGAAGGGAGAGGCTGGGATATTGTCATAGAATAGTTTGGGTTGGAAGGAACCTTCAAAGGTCACCTAGTCCAACCCCAGCTGCAATGAGCATGGACATCTTCAACTAGATCAGAACTGCCTGGCCTTGAATGTCTCCAGGGATGGTGCATCTACCACCTCTCTGGGCAACCTGCTCCAGTACTTTACCACCCTCACTGTAAAAAATTTCTTCCTTATGTCCAGCCTAAATCTCTGCCCTTTTAGTTTTAAACCATTACCCCTTGTCCTATCGCAACAGGCCCTCCTAAAAAGTCTCTACCCATCTTCCTTGCAAGCCCCTTTCAAGAACTGAAAGGCTGCAATGAGGTCTTCTTCAGGCTGAACAACCCCAACTGTCTTAGCCTTTCCTCATAGGAGAGGTGTTCCATCCCTCTGATCATTTTTGTAGCTCTCCTCTGGACCCTTTCCAACATGTCCGTATCTTTCCTGTACTGAGGACTCCAGAACTGGACACAGTACTGCAGGGGTTGGTCTAACCACAGCAGAATAAATGGGGAGAATCACCTCCCTTGACCTGCTGGCCATGTCCTTTGGATGCAGCCCAAAATCCAATAGGCCTTCTGGGTTGTGAGCTCATGTTGCCAGCTCATGTCCAGTCTTTCAGCCACCAGTATCCCCAAATCCTTCTCTGGATTAGTCTCAATCCCTTCATCCCTGTTGTGGTTTAAACCCAGCCATAACTCAGAACCACTCAGACGCTTGCTCACTCCCCCCCTTCCTCCCCTCTGTTCCCAGAGGGATGGGGAGGAGAATCAAAAGACTGTAACTCCCACAGGCTGAGATAGGAGCAGTCCAGTAACTAAGGTGTAACACAAACCACTGCTGCTACCACCAATAATGAGAAGGGAAATAACAAGGGAAGAGAATACAACTGCTCACCACCTGCTGACTTATACGCAGCCTGACTGAGCAGTGATTTAACCCTTCTGGGTGACTGCCCCCAGTTTATACAGTGGGTATCATGTGCTGTGGTATGGAATACATCTTTGGTTAGTTTGGGTCAGGTGTCCTGTCTCTGCTTCCTCCCAGCTTCCCCTCCTCCCTGGCAGAGCATGAGGCTCACAAAGTCCTTGGTCAGAGTAAACATTACTGAGCAGCAACTACAAACATTGGTGTTACCAGCGCTGTTCCCAGGCTGAAAGTCAAAACCACAGCACTGCACCAGCTACTAAGAAGGAGAAAAATGACTGCTACTGCTAAACCCAGGACAATCCCCCAGCCTGTATTAATACTGGGGGTTGCCCTGACCCAGCTTTGGCCTTGTTGAACCTGATAAGGTTTGCATGGGCCTACTTCTCAAGCTTGTCCAAGTCCCTCTGGATGGCGTCTTTTGAACTACCTTTAATGCAATTCCTCTGGAAAACAAAGAAAGCACAAGTAGGGAGTGCAACATCTTCAGCTGTAGTGTTTATCAGATTTTGGGTCCTTTGAAATCCCTCTATTTTTAGACTTGGCATTGCTATTCTTTCTTAAATAGAAGTTTAGTCTCCTCTTAAAAAGGAATGCATACTAAACCAGTTGATGCTTTTCTTCCTATGAAAAAAAAAGTTAAGCTATTAAAGTTCAGCTGTTTTTTCATTTCTGAAAGATTGTTGCGTCTTGTGATTCTGCTCTGAATTGCTTCTCTGTATGTATTTGATTCCAATATAATATTGACAACTGGAACAAAAAAAGAAAAAAAGAGACAGACTACCTCAGAACACCCTGTTGGTTCCTTTTCCTTCTTTATTTCTTTAAGCCTAAGAAAAAGCAGCTGCCAATATGTTCAGTGGCTGGCAAGTAAAGCACTGTCAGTGCGGCTGACTTGCTGCGAAATATTAGTAAACAAGCAGTTACGTGAACAGCAGCCAAGTTTAACAAGATCTCCACTTATTATCCTGTCATTTTTTGTGGAAGAATATGCCATTGCTGTCAGATCCATCTGTTCGATTGCACAGCCTGTGCATAGAAATCACCTAGTCTTACACATGGGGAAAGATTGTGGAGAAACCTGAAACCAGGAATGCAAGATGAATAGTTAGAACTCAATTTAGATAAATGACTGTCTAGTTGAGAGCAGCCAAGTTTTGTTATGTTGTGTGCAGCGGCGAAAAATCTGGCTATCTGGCCCAACGCAAACATGATTTGTTGTAGTCTGTGTAGCTCAAATGTTATCTGCAGCTTGGTTCATCACAAAATGATACAGAAAGGAGGTGTAAGAGAGACATTCCTGGGGAAAGCCAGAAGAAAAGCATGTAAGAAGTTATCACTTTAAACGTTTGTTTTTTTTTCTTTCAAAAACAGATGAATTAACCTGATCACTTGCTGTGAAAGTCACTGCTGATGTAATTGGGATACCCTTGTTGGAAGCAGTGGTATGGAAAAATTAACAAATGCTGGAGAAACTTCAAGGGATAGATATATACTCCTAATATTATCTTATTGTTTTTCCTTTAGCATCTTTAAAAGCTAGAGACCAAATGTGCTTGGTGGTACATGTGAATCTTCTGGTGTCAATTCCGCCTGCAACCCCGCTGAAGCACTTCTCTCTTGCTTGTCTTCACAGCCTGAGGTGCAGGCAGAAAAAAACAAGAGGGGTTGAACACATGATAGTAGAGATGAGTTTTGTGTCAAAATGAGCATACATGGTCAGTCCTTCCAACGATGGGTCTCTCTGTCCAGGCTTCATCACAGCTCTTGCTGTTCTGGGACAGTGTAGGGAACAAGCGGTTGTAGGGCATGGCTGATGTGCCCCTGAAAGGAATTGGGATTTGGGGGTTTGGTTTTGGTGGCTTTTTTTGGTTTGGCTTTTTTTATTTTCTTTTGATTGGTTTGGGGTTTTTTTTTTTTTGAGGTCTTTTTTATTTTTTTTTGGTTGGTTGGGGGGTTTTTGTCTGTGTCAGAAACTTTCATAGAATCACAGAATGGTTTGGGTTGGAAGGGACCTTGAAGATCATTCAGTTCCAGCTCCCCTGCCAGAGGCAGGGACACCTTCCACTAGATCAGGTTGCCCAAAGCCCCATCCACCCTGGCCTTGAATACTGCCAGAGATGGGGCAGCCACAGCTGCTCTGGGCAACCTGTGCCAGTGCCTCAAAGTGACAAATTTCTTCCTAGTAGCTAACCTAAATCTACCCTCTTTCACTTTAAAACTGTTCTTCCTTTTACTATCACTACATGCTCCCTTGTTCTTTGCCCTTTTATAAATAAAAGCAAAATTTAATCTGTACTGGAGTAAGCTGCTGGGTGGCTTTTGCTTTCCATGGCATCTATTTTGCCTCCTGTTTGATCAGCCTAATTAACAGGTCACAGCCTCCAGTCCTGGTTTAGACAGAGGGCTTTATTGGAACTTTGAAATTGGTCCTTCAGCTTAAGTTACTTTTTGCCCTTCAGCAAGTGTGAGTTGTCTAGGCTTTTCCCTTCACCCAAGCACAGAAGCAGTGTGCGGGCTGTCCGGGTTTGGGGGTGCCTGGGATGGTGTTGGTGGCTGATGCAGGGAGGACCCACCTTCCAGGCTGTTGATTTGGGCCAGTTCAACACGAGCACAGAGATGGGCAGCAGTGCCCAGGTAGGATTCCTGTGGGCCTGTTGCTAACTAATGATGTTAGGCTAGGTGTGATGTTGAAGTTGAAGCTGTCAGCTTTGTGATTTAAGGCAGCTAAAGGAAGTGAACCATGCCTGTTAAAACCTAGTAAGATCAGCACATGCATGGGAATGTAATCTGCATCCTGATCTGCAGCAGAAATGTGTCGAATCCCAGCTCTGCCCAGAGCAAGGGAGTGTCCAGCACCACCTAATCCAGAGAGGCATGGAGTCAGCTCACAGAAGCGGAATCACGCTCCAGTGGGCTGTCACACTGCAAGTTTCTGAGCATTTTTATTTTGTCATTTGGGATGGGAACACTTAAGGTAACGATCATTATTTTTCTACTTTTTTGTAGCTATGGAGACCAGAAACTTCATAAAGCAAAGCGAAGCAGAGGCTCTCTATGTGCAGTTGGAACTAGCTCAGACATTTCTGTCTCTTTTGGCTCCTTGTCAAATCTTTTCTATTTCCTGGGAACTGGAAAAAAGACTGAGAGTGGCATATGCAGAATATTATACTTTAGATTAAAATTCAGTGGAATAAACATGAATGAATCTGCATTTGAAAACAAAGGCTAACTCTCAAAAGCCCCTCTCCCACAGCAACGCTGCTCTGAATATGAAAGGTATGTGCCAATAAAATCAGCAGGTATGGCAGCTCTCTTGTCAGATAGGCACCCACATTTTTTTCAAAGGCAGAAGGACCTTTGTAGCTGGAAATGACAGTAACTAAGGAGGGGGAAAATGTTTTATCTTATATGTATTTGATTCTGTGAACTGTTGGATAGGGGTAGAAACAAACACAAAGATGTAACAACACAAAGATGAAGTGGTATAGTAAGGGATAGTTCAGAAACGCTAGTTACTTATATTCTGTGTAACTCCTTACACTGTTACATACTCTTATTTGTATTTAAGACATACATGAGACTTTTATTCTGTATTCCAGCTAGATTTCTCTTTCCCTTGCAGTTTGATCTGTGAACAAGACCTTTCTGATTTTATCTGTGTGCAACAAGACATTGTATTTTGTCCAGAGAGCCTAGACAAAAGGCTGCAAAAGCTGGCTTGTACTGATTGCATTATGCCCCATAACACAAGTATGAAGAATCACTGCAGGGAACGGATCCCACATCTAACTGTTAACAGCATTAATAGGTTTTAGGTGGCTCCTAAAGCAGTGAAACTAACTGATATACCTATAAGAAGTAACTGTCAGCTCCCATATATCAGCTCCATTTGGGATATATTGTTTGGTGAAAGATAGTCCCATAATTTAAGATCTGTGTTTAATTTAAGATCTATGTTGTTATGATGACAGTTTTCCCAAAAGATAAAAAATTAGAGAAGCATCAATATGCTGACTGATTTCAGTGACTAACAGCTTAGAGACTCCTTGATACATGTAAAAATTGGCAGTGGAGAGTCAGAGACTTTCTGTAGTTCTCATGTCTCCTTCAATGAACTTGGAATAAACTGTTATTAGCAAATTAGTTATGCTAGAAAAATAATATAGGGGTGATTAATAGGCCAGGAAGTAGCTGAACAGTGTACTACCATAAGACACACTAAATCTGCCCAAACAGCCCACTACCACAGTTCACATGCAGCATTGACATCATGTAGCAAGAGAAGGGTAAGAGTGAAAACTAATGGATTTAGTTGAAAGGACTTTTTCTTGAGGTCTGGCCTTGAGCTGGCAGGGGAAATTAGCAGCCTGACTTTCTGCATGCTTCTTGGTTCAAAGGAGATGTTAATGGAGAGTGAAAAGGCAACTGTATTCCTCAAATTGCTGGAAGGAAGCCTGTTTTGCACCAGAGATCTCTTTTCTTTATTTAATGAACTTTGAAAACCGTACATCCGCCTGACAGTTAGGCTTCAATGTTCTGCCTGGAAATGAGGTCCTCACCAGCAAGCCTGCCGCAGGTAAGATCTTGCTCTGCATCCCTTCTTTGCCTGTCTGCTCCTTCTTCATCTGAAACTGTCTTTTCATGACATGATCTGAGCTGAAACTCTTCCACTTGATGGGGAGGGCAGGAGCTACCAGGCTGCTTGTGCCCTCCCCTTCCATTTCTGTGCAGTCCCAGCCCTAATTTGTCATACGATTTGTCATAGCAAACACATATGGATGTTGAAAAGTAACAAAAGAACTGATAAAATATGCACCAAATATAAATTCATGAGCAAGGTAATGCAATAGGATCATTCTAGCACAAGTGTTATTTTCTACTTGCCTTTTTAATTTGAAATATTCAGAACAGTTTTAGAGTTTTGACATGTAATAAGATCCTGACCTGTTTTCCACAAAATTGCAATTGTAGAGCTTAATAATATATTGCCATCTGGACCTGAGTCAAAGTAAATCCACATACATTATATAACTTGAATTGACTTATAAAAGGAGAAGGGGATATAATATCTTAAGCCTTTTAAATAAGGGATAAGTGCAATACTGGGAATTTGTTAATATTATTTCATGCTAGATTTTAAAATGCGTTCCCAGGTGCAGTATTTAAAGATGGGGTTGTTTATTTGATGGGATCATTTGCTTTACAGTGTCTGGGAGCTGCGACTGGTACCAGTGCCAATAGGCTGTTATCCTGGGGTTGGATATTACTGTGTTCAGATGCTGTTGTGATGACTTTGGTAGATATACCCAGATGAATAGGGGGAGAGCTCTTCTTCCTCCCAGAAAAGGAAGCAAATGAATGATTTGCTGGAATGAATAGAAATAGTAATGGTTTAAACATGCTGGTCATGGAAGTTAGTCAAGAACTCCAAAAATAGCTCCTTCTGTCCGCGTCATTTACTAGCCTGCAGAAAATTATTCAAGCTTGTTTATTTTAATAGGAAAAAGTTAATTTACTGTCATTTTAAAGCATGTTGTCTACTTTGTGGAGGCTAGAGTGTACTATATAGGTTGCCAGTGCAGTTCCAGGGCTTAATTTCTCAGGTACACTCCAGAAAGTTACATTTGGCTCAGAGGTGATCACACAATTTATTCTGTGATCTCAGTGCCGTGTAAACCTCAATTGATGCCTCTCTAAATTCTTTTTCACTCTCTGTGCAATGAGGCTGGCCTGTCTTACAAATGTATAGGTACATAAATCACATCTTATACTGACATTTCAACAGCGCTTTAAGAGGAACTGTGGAGTTGCTTGCATGCGGCAGTGTCACACATGCTGTCACAGGATGGACAGGATTATGGATGGGCTATGCCGTGCCATCACGGCATTGCAACCACTCCAGCTACTGAGCCCCAAGTGCCAGCACAGCCGGCGTGACATTTTTTAAGATAATATTTTTAGGTGTCTCAGTTGTGAAGGTTTTCTTATGTCATCTCTCAAATTTATGAGTCCAGGGAATAACACAGAAAGACCAAAACTTTGACCTTAGTGACTTGTATATGCATATATATATATATATATATTACATATACCTAACTTCATGTTCTTGGAGTAGTACTCTAAAGCAACTGGGATGAAAGGTAGCGTTACTGGCATGTGGAATGAAATTCAGGAATTTTGCAGCAAGAAGTACAGTACAGAAGTTAAATTAAAAATAGATCAACTAAAAATATACTGTACATCAACAAGTCTTGTGTGCGATCCTGAAACCTGACACAGTCATTAGTGCCCCCCCCATCAATCAAGAGGCCTCTTACCACAGTGTCCCTGACAATGACTCAAAGGAATAGTGCTTCTCACCTGTTGCAGCCATAAATGCAGTCCAACCAAATAGTGACTGTGAATTGTTTCCATGTGATGAAGTGTGGCCGGTTTGAGATGAGCTGGTGTCACAAAAGCCCTCTCTCTCTATAGCTGTCATGTAGACAGTTGTCAGCCACAGGACAAAGGGCAAAGAATAGGCGTTTAAGACTATTTTACTCTATTTTAAGCAGGGATTTTTTTATGCTGTTGTTGTCATATACATTGCCACATTTGAGGTCATGACATGATTTGGCTAAAATCTGAATGTTACAGTTTGTGCTGATCTTGTTCTTTCCCCCAGGTGACAATGGCATCAGCAGCATATGGGCTTTTTGGACAGAATTGGCCTTCACAACTTGTGCTGCTGTAGAGTTGTGTTGGCAAGGACAAGATGGTGACATCACATGTGACAGTTCCTAGCTCCTGGAAGGAGTCGCAGAAGTCATGATCCACAGATTAATTTAACCATGTGTGAAGGACACTGTTTTAATAGGAATTCTCTGGGATCATATTTAATTCAGCAGAGCTTATTTTAAAAGTATATAGAACTGTATTACCAAACCCTGCACTAACATGTAAACTCTTCCTACTCTACCAGCAGACGTACAATTCAATGTTATGGATGGGATGTGGCCACCGGTCTGCATCAGATGCTGGAGGACGTGGCACAGTAAGGTTCATAATCAACAGCTCAAGGCAAAGGAGCTGCAGAAAGAGTGATCAAGGAGATGATTGTACATTATAGATTGTTAATTTAATAACTTTACACAATTAAGAAACGTATGCTAATATATCAATACAGAAGATAAAACCCACACAATACTGAATAGTAATTGTCTCAGCTGAATCTCACATAATACAAACAATTTAATGTAAGTGTAGTTACCTATGCTACTAATTTAATTAGCATTCATTTAGAAGAAAACATCCTTTGGCATTTGACAGCATTTAAACTCTGCGTGGCTGTTCAGAAGTAGCTACCAAGAAAAAAAATCGAGTCCACTTAGGGAATACCTGAAAAAAGTAAAAAATATTTTGAAATTCAACTGTTTCCTCTATTTCCTTCCCTCATGTGTGCTTATATAAAAATCAGCATTGGGATTTTGGAATTCTCATTTTGCATGAATAACATTTCAGATTATAATATTTGTATTTATAGAATCTACTTGAATCAGTTAGCAGCAGCATCAGCTTCTCTGGAGAGAAAAGTAAGGGAATTTATGCTTCTTTTGGAGTTTTAGTGTGTTCTAAACTATTGCTGGTGCTTGATGTTCGTAACTGTTCATGTAGCACATGGAATATTTTTGGTTCAATATGTTTGGTGATTCTGTAGCCTGTAAAGCTTGATGACTAGTTCAGAGCACGTGCTGAACTAGCAAAGGCATTGGTGCTCAGATAAAAATAATAACTCTGAGGTGCACTCAGAAAACATGAACTTGTTATCTACCAACAATATCATCTAGTATAGATTGTTACACCCCCAGGATTGTTTTCTTCCACACACTGAAGACAGCTCATATGCAATTTCTCCACGGATTTTGCTTTAAATGAAAACTTCAAGATAACTTATTAAAAGACTACTTCTAGAGATTATCCCTCTACTAAAACCATCAAAAGTATCTTCTTTTGCTTTTTGGCCTAGCTTTTGGACTTTTTCATGTGACCTTTTACTTACAGCATGATTTTAAAGCACTTACACAAACAATAACATGTTCTTTATGAGGTTTAAAGATAGCTCATTTCAATTCAGTATAAATGAAACAATAAACTGAATCTGAGGAACGTTTTTTACTGAACTAATCACTTCTGCATTTTGCAGCAACAACACTGGAGTAATTGAAGTGTACATAAGGCCTTGCAAATATGACCACTGGCCTGTTATATTTTGGATGAGGATTTTATAAAAATACCTGCCTTCACTGGGAAAGTAAAGCCAAATTACACTGCTTTACCAGTCTGTGCCCCTGCTATTACTTTCATTAGCATAATGAATATTTACTTGATTGTGTATATATATATATATATACACATGTATAACAAGGTAGAATAACTCATTAAAAAATTAAAAAGTAGATTTTTTTATTTTCATGGTAGAAGTATATTCAGATCTATTTCCCTCACCAAATATTTAGTCTTCTGCAGGATCTTGCTGCCCCTTGGGCTAAGATGCAGGACTGCAGAACCAAATGTGGCAAAATTTTGCTTGTGACATCCTTTTTCATTAGGGGTGCATTGCAAAACATGCTGATTCTTTGAGGAAAGACAGGTGAGTTCTGTCATTTATTCTTTGCTCCGTACTAATGAGCGGTGTGTTAAGTGAAGTGGCTTAACAGGAATATACATCATGGAATATACATTTCCCACAGCCAGAGCTATTGCAGAAAGAATTGTCTTCGAAACACTGATTAAATTGTGATCTTTTCTCACCTCATTATTATTTTAGATCATTTTATGATGTCTGCGACTATGATATATAAGTGAGAATATGGAAAAGGAATAATTCCTCGAGTGTTTAAGAAACAAAACCTTGCTCCAAGTGTATATCTGTGTGTATAGGTCGGCAACAGAGCAAGGAAGAACTGGCTCTTTATTTTCCTTCTATAGTCTCTGTATGTTGAGCAGTTTGTTTCAAAAATCCAGGAAAAATAATACTTTTCCTATATAAATAATAGTTCCGTAATTAATGATATTACTTAATTTTGTGGGGGGTTGGTTGTTTTGTTGTTTGGTTGTGGGGTTTTTCTAATAATTCTGATCTATTTCTCCCAAACGCCCTGTACGCCTGAGACAAAGCACTGGCCTCGCTGCCCAGGACTGCAGGAAGGGGTTGCCATCTGCTGGCAACCACGCAGCACGGAGCAGGAGTGAGCAGGTTCATGCAGGGGAAAGGTTTTGGTTAGTGGGACCTAACCTCTCAAGTCATGCAGAAGCTGGATGCCGACAGGTCCGTCTAACCTGAGCATTTTGTGTACCTCGATTTTGTGTACGGTGCACAAAGTGAGGTGAGATGATGTATGGCTTTTGCTTAGGAAACAGCTTGAACCTGTTGCAGTGGCCAGATTTAACTAGTGCATACAATCTGTGACTGCTCTGGAAAACAAGAAGCTAATTAGACAGTGTGGGTTTGTGATTCAATAACAGAAGTAGCTTCTGAAAGCAAAACCCAGCAAGTTCTGGGAGCTTAGATTACAGCAAAATACATTCTCCGTAAAGCACCTACAGAAATGAGAAAGGTAGGGGAGGGCTAAAATCAAACAAACACCAAAATCTGTGTTTCTACCTGTAGATGTTGCTCCCAGTTACTCAAGTGATCTGAACAGTAGCCAACAGGCTAGTGATCAGCCATTTTTTTATCATCTTTGGCTTGTGCATGGGGGTATCAAGGGCTGAGGAGAGTGAGATACAGGTGCCCTCCTTCATTTGTAGTAGAATTCATTTGAACAGGGACAGAGACACCCCCGAATGAAGAAGCACTCAGTTTTTTCAAAGCCCCAAACCACTATATATTTCCTGAGAAAAGTTTTAAGGACAGCATATTTAGTTTCGGCAGGGGAGAGCCAAGTAACAAACCCCACACAAAAACAAAATAATAATAATAATAATAATAATAATAGTAATAATAATAATAATAATAATAATAATAAAACCAAATCAAACCAACTCACACAACAACAACCAAACAACCCCCACAAACCAAGCCACAAAAACCCACACACCTTTTTTTGTGCATGTAGGTCCAGTGCCTCCTTTGATGCTGTAGAGCACCCTCTAGTTTCCCTGTAGATCTGAAGTTGCCCTATCTGGCGTAAGAGGGCACTGCTGCACAAGTGTAGGAGCTGCTGCTGTTCCCTCCTTAAGGACTTGGTGTTTACAGTAGGTATCTAGCTGGTAAAGTTGGCTACCTTCTTACAAGTAAGTTACTTTATTAATCTGTGCATGGAAGTGTCAATTTTTTAATGTTTGTAGACCTTTATTTCTGGTTGCATAACACTTGGTAACATTTTAATGGCTTTTCAAGGCTGGCACAGCTGTTTTGAATAAAGTGATTTGTTCTCATAGTTTTTAAAATTCATCTTTTCCCCAGCACAGTAGATGCATTTAAAAATGAAAATATAAGCTATAGAAAAAGAAAGGAACAAAGATCCATCTTATGTTCTCCCACAAGCAGATGGACTGAAAAAGGAAGGGTCATCTCCACATACGGAAACTTACGCCAGAGTCACCTGGAAAAGGAGAGGAAACAATTACTAGTTGTCTACAAATGCAGTGGAAGTCTGAGCTGGTCCTTCCAGGAGGACAGTGTCAAATCTTGTGTCCAGATCATGCAGATTCAACTCACATTCAGAAGTGATTACTTTTTACAGAGTGCAGAGCCTTCTCACTCACATGAAGGCTGTTTCCTTATGGCTGAGTCTCAGCTGGTGTAGTCTTGTGTATCTCTGCTGACCTGAGTATGGTTTTGCTTTCACACAAGTTGTTTCCTTCTGGTCTTGAATTTTGTTCCCTTTCGTTAAATGCCAACCTTGGTTAGGCTTGCTTTTTCCAGTGTTTAAGAAAAGGGAGTCACCCTACGTACAGATGAGAGCAAGATACCTGTGGGTATTTCTGCTGGAAAACATGCAGTTTAGGGTGGGTGACTAGGGCACAAATTCCAGGGCCGGCTTATACTCAGTTGTGTTGCAGTTTTCTAATACATAGGAAAATGCAGAATAAAAGATTCTAAGGAAATTGTAGAATGGTTTGGGTTGGAAGGGACCTTAAAGATCACTTTGTTGTAACAAACATGAGGACATTGAAATCATCTTACTCCATTTTATCCAGTGTTTATGGTTAACTGGAGTGATCAGATAAACACATAATTTAAATCTTAGATGAACACGGCATTTTAGAAAGTCTTTCACAAATTATGTTAGTGAATATATCCTTTTTTCTTCAGCCAGTTTGTGTTTGCCATTGTATTCCTTGCTGGCATGATCTAATGCTCTTTCAGAGCACACAATAAGATCCAGTAAAAATATTTTCAGCCTGTGCATGACTTTGCTCTGCACATGAGCTGAAATCATATGAGCTAGCATTTGTTCCTGAATGTGTATCTTCAGTCTAGTAAGTTGTTTTCAGTTCAGGGCTGAACCAAGAACTGAAGATGCATCCCAGCTAAGCAGTACACTTACTTGTTTTCCAGGAGTTAAAACAAGGGAACAACCAAAAGTGTAATCTAATATCCAGCTGGTGCCATTTCTTTGTCTGGGCATCATGGCAAACGCCAAATATTTGAGAATAACAATCCCCTTAGGTGACCCTTGTTGGTTGCTCCAGGCCTCCCACACTGCTGCCTCCCCACCCTCTGAATGGACCCTTTTCCTGCACACTTGAGCCTGAAATGGTAAAAATGTATCCTGAGCACCAAACTTTAAACTTCATCTATAAGAACAGTCCCTTTGCAAGCCAGGGGAGAGGGGAGCTGGGCAAAGAGAAAAGAAATCAGTTGGGAAGCAGCTCTGGCAGTCATTCACCCTGTTTCCTCTACCTCTCTCCTTGTGCCACAAGCAGTGCTGCCGGGGAAGGGGGAAGCCTCCCACGCTCCTGTATGTGCCCCATTTCACCCTTGGGTGCAGGGGAAGTAGCGGGAGCTGGGACTGGCCTGGCTGGCCTGAGCTGGGAGAGCACTGTGTATTCAGGTTTCTTCAAGCAGGTCAGACACAGGGTTCCTCATTTCTTCTCTGTCCTTACAACCACTGGAAATAATTTTCTACAAATAGTGTGGATGGCACAGTGTGCCTGGATTTCTTTTTGCCCACTACCCAACCTCCAGCAGACCTGGAGCCAGAGGAAGCATTTCAGCCCAGTGTCAGTGGAAGGCTGGAAGATGTAGTGTCCTCAACATGATGGACTGCTTGAAGGTATGTAATGATCACAAGTACTGCAAAGCAGTATGGGGTCTGCTCTAAAACTGGGTGTGGCTTAGTGCTTCTCTTAGCTTTTTGCTAGCAGAATGGAGCAGTGCAAGAAGCTAAGACTCTGGCACCTGGCCACTGCTGGACATGCCTCCCCGCACGTGCACTGAGGCCTTTTCCTCACTCTTTTTGCTGTATAAGGGGTGCACTGCCAACTTTTCTTATCAAAAAAAAACAAAACAGAATGAAAGAAGTATTAACTTTGTGGGTTTGTGATAGCAGAAAAATCACATGGAAAATGCAGCATGGTAAGACTGGAGTTTTAACTTGGGCGTAGTAGCTTGGTCAGGAAGTTAAGATTCAGTGCAAATCTGAGTGGCACATTAAATGCCGATTTTTCTTTGGCTGTCACAGTAAAAGCCACACCAACAGGTTATGCTAATGTATAAATCATAAAATGCATCTTCCAGAAAGCTGACATTTCCCAAATCATAAATCCTTTGGTGATTTACAGTGTATGATAAGTTAAATTGGGTTTCCTTCCAGAAGAATAATCACTGGAGAAGAAGAAATTAATGAAGTTTTTATAGGAAATATCCGAAACTTGTCCTGTTGCTGACCCTGCACTGGGCAGCTTTGGTTGCTGAGCTATTCCTGGGAGGTGTTTATCATCTCACATGTCTTTCAGTTCAGCAGCAGGCAAAGGTGTGCAGCACTTGGTTGGACAGGCCTCCGGACCTTCTTTCAGTCTCCAAATAACTGCAGTTAAGTACACTCAGCTCTTTGTTCACATACAGCCATCCCCATGGAGTGGGCTGTTGCCCATGGTCTCAGCAGGCTGTGCAGAACAAGCTGGAAACCCAGGTCAGGTTGCAGTGCCCATTGAGACTCTGGCCACTGAAGTGGAAGCTTTGAAATCTGGCCTTGCCTTGAGTGCCATTGCTTTGTAGGGCAATTTACCTCCCAGTCATCTGAAGTTCAGTACTAAGCAATCCAGCTGAGACTGTTTCTCATAAATTATGTGTCAGGCAGATTTATTCACAGCAATTATCCCCTTGCCAGCTAGAAAGGTATTCACCAGTCACTGAGCAGCCATTGAAACGAAGCTATACAAAGACAAAACCCACGTTGTTATCCACATTACTTTTAGACAGCAGTGGGAAACTAATCCAGAAATGACATTGCACATGCAGATGTCTACAATGATAGTGCCCTTTTTCTGTTATATTTACAGCCTTTTTTTATCAGGTATCTCAGCATTCAGCTGAAGTGCTCTGCCAAGAGCAATGACTCATACACCCCAAGCCCTAGGAACTAGTGTGTGGAATTAAATATTTAGTAGATTAATAAATGGATCTTTTCAGGTCTTCAGTTGCATAGTTATCAAATAACAATCAGTCTTTATTTTCATGATGTAAATGTGAGTGGAAGTAATGTCTAGCAAATTTTAAGGGAGGTTTCAAATTCTAAGATTGCTGTGACTAATAAAATGCATCTCATGAGACAAATTTTCCATATTTATTTTGTGAATGCAATAATCTGATACTTTCTCACATGTTAGTCTGCAGGTCACAGGAGACTATGGCAAAGTAATAACACATTCCAAGGCGTATAAACATGGCTTTCAATTTGCTAGCAAATCAGGGCATTTTAAAGGAAAAAGCTCAATTGAAGTAAATCTGCTTTAAAAAAATAACTACCAATATTACAAAGCTGTAAGTATTACTTGGAGGATTAATTTTGTGAGTTGATATGTCCCTCTAATATAAAGCAGTATAGCCTTCAGTTATTTATAAGAATTGCATAGGATTTGTAAATTGAAAGCATTTCTTTGCCAGGCTACTGAATACTCCATGTAGATGTTCACATGTCAGAAGTACAACTAACAATAATATAAATTTGACATTCTAATACTTCATATCTAGGTACTAATGAAATTATGAAGGTTGGAATGTACTCTAAATGTATTAGCTATTTAAACAGTAAATATTGCCAATTTTCTTGCAAAATGCATCGTGTTTTAAAGAGGTTTTTTGATAGTTGCTTCCCAAATATCAGATGCTAAATCACTCAGACTCAGCAGAAGTAGCATAGCAAAAGCATCTGTGGTGTTGTTACCAAGCAGTTGATATTTGCTTTCTCTATTTTTTTCCCAGCATTCCTCAGAGAGAACTGCGCTATGAAGAAAACCTGTTCTGGTACAAAAGGGGAAGAGTTTCCTTCTTAATGAGGTGATAGGTGATTGTTTATAGCTAAATCTTTCCCAAACACGTTGTCTAAAAACCAGCACTAGTTCAGAGAAAGGAAACTCAAAGTTCATGAAACAGAGATGTTTGTCTCTGACTCTGTGCTCTCTAAGCAAGCACAACCTTTATTTCTGCTTACTGTAACACCCCATGTGTACAAACACAACACAGTGGGTGAGTCGAAGGGTGGAGATGGTGTTAAGATGTTCTAACGTTAGACGTGTGCCCCTTACTGTTACAGGAAAACAAATCCAACGATGTATTTGTGGCAATGTATGTTGGCCTTGTGGCCCCAGTGTTAGGCTAGCCAGCTGAAATGCTCTTATGTAACCAGTCTACCTGTTAAGGAGCTGTACAAACATTTCTGGTAGCGCCGGCCTGATTTTTTTTCTTGTTTTCTGTAGGATTGGACTCTGTCTCTAATTGCCGCCTTGTCCACTAACTTACCATGAGCACTGTGTTCGAGGACAGATGCTGCAGATCCTTGCTTTGCTGTGGCAAAGGAGCTGGTGACAGACAGCTCCCCAGGGCTTGCCTGGCCTTTTTAGTGCAGACACAGTAAAATGGCTCGGATGAGAATGGCAGGCTCATACAGCTCCTTTGTATGACTGAAGGAATATCCAAAAAGATAGCCATCAGTGAAATAGTGCACTTTATACTACCAGGGAACATACTTTTGAACACAGCTAGGGGCATTGTTCCTCCAAACCAGGTAAATGGCCTGTACAGGATTCTCAGTGGTGAGCAGCAGGAGTTGGTGAACAACAGCATTCATAACTTCCAGCCAGCCAGTGAATCCAAAGCCTCTGCTTTTTTCCCCTTTTTTTTTTCCCTCTTGGCAAAGTCCACATGGATCTGAAGAAGGGAATTTAATATTTTCTACAACATCAGTACTGTTTCTCCCCTTAAAATTGCTTTCTCTTCCAGAAAGACTTGCAGCCCTGCTGACTTACTCAATTTATTCTAATTCACTTAAAGTACTGAAGGCATTTAAAGTGCATTCCTAGCTTTGAGCAGATAACAGGACTGAAATCAAGGAGCCTGCTCAAAAGACTGCCTTAAGTGAGATAAATCTGTTTGAGCTAAACAGTGAATTAAAGGCTAAAATAGAGATCTCATTTCTGACCACAGCTAATTCTGAATATTGAGTATTTCATGATGCCAGCACAAAAACAAAGAAAAAAACACCATACAAACAGAGAAAAAAAAAGACATACAAAAATTACATTTTAATTTGAAACACAAATAAGAATGAGGAAGTTGTTTTTCATATGTATTGTTCTTCAGCAGGCAAAAAAGCAATTGCTTTTTGCTACAAATCCCTCTCCTGATTTTATTCTTAAGCAGTGTGTACTCTTCTTGGGTTTTATATTTTAAAACTGTCCCTCTGCTTTTTTTTCCCGGCTGTTGGACTGAGATCTATTGTAGAGTTTGTCTGCAGTTCTCTTGTCCATTCCAAACAGATGATGTGTTGTTTAAAATAATGTCGATATTGTTACACTATTCTTTGCTGCAGTTACAACTTTTATATCCTTAACCTCATGCTTTAGGCTTGCAGAACAATACTTACTGTGCTTGTAGCTAAATTAGGGTAGTAGTTAGGAAAACTGCTGTGAAGAGCAATGACTCTCTGTCCTTGCTTAAGGCAACTACGCCTGGAAAGTTCCCAATCTGTGAAGGTCAGATTCTCTTGTTAGGAATACCTGGTTCCAGGCAGAAATTATTTCCATTAGATCAGATGTGTGTATGCATGTATGTAATTAGTAGAACCAAAGCAGATAGGATTCTTACGGGAACAGCTACGGAGCCAATGAAGCTATTGTATCAGAGAGGTTGGGGGTATTTTTCAATAAATATATTACACAAAGAACAGAATCATATTTCTTTTTACACCAAATTGCATCTTATCCCAAAACCTCTGCTTTACAGCATAGCTAGACAAAGAATGTAAAGCTCATATTTTATTCTTGTGTCTCAAAATGATGTGATACGCTGAATTGTGCATGGCACAGTTTTATTTTAAGAGTATGCCCATTTTGGACAAGCATTAATGAAACTGCTTTCCTTACGTGATGCTTGGAGAAAGGCTGTCTTGCTCAAGAATGCAGAGGACTGGCAAAAGCCAGCAGTGGAGACATAAGAGGCATAGATCCAGTACCAGAAAACTTCAGGGCTTGCAGAGCTTGCCGTTTCAATTACCATATTAGCATACCCATTGGGTCAAACCGATCTCTAGAAATCAGTGGAAGTTCTTTGACTAGTTTCCCTGGGCAGGTGAACATGATTCTTTGAGGGGACTCACTGAGTCTCTACTGGTCTGAAGGCGTTGCAGGTGTTGTCGCAACTGCTGGGAAACCATCAGTGGGAAATTCTAGAGATTAGCAGGTACCATGGTGTTAAAGCTGATGAAAAAGATGTTATCTCATGATGCTGTTAATTGGTAGCCAGGCGTTTCAGGTCCCAAAAAATCCTGTAAGTCCTGTACCCCTACTAGAAAAGAAGGAGGAGTCTGATCCTTCAGCCAGCAAAGTTCTGTTGTCAGAAGAGACTTCCTGCTATGAACCTGGTATTACTGGGCAGACAGTAAAGCTCCAGGTCTCTGTTGCATCTGCAGAACTGGAAATAATGCTTCAAAGTACCTACTTTGATGTATCTCATTGTGCAAACAGAAACAAGAGTCTGAGAGAGCACAAACTGACTGAGGATCAAGATGGTCAAGATACTGATTGCAGAAATTGATGAAAACTTCCTTAGGTGACATGACCTGGCTTCTGGTTTTTTCCATAACTGTCATCTTAGAATTCATTCCAGACTCAAAAGACCAAAAAAATAAGATTGTTTATAGTATGCAATCTATACACAACTAAAGTCATTGCTGATGTAAAACAACTGTTTTCAGTAAAGTTTTGCCAGAGTTGAGTGCTGCTCAGTCACATTGTATGTGTGTTAGCATGGTTTCTAAGATACTGATCACAGCAATACGAATAATTGTATTTAGAATATTCTTCTGCCTTGTTTTTTGTTGTTCATTCCAGATGCAAGTACTCTGCAGATGGATGTAAGTCATGTAGCCTGGGGCCCACAGTTTCCACTCTTCCATCTAGGACAAAAAAAAAATATTATTCCTGTAAAAATAACCAGTCATCTAATTGCATTTGCTATGGGTATACTGAAGGCTGTCTCTCCCAGCTGTTTTCTATGTGTAGCATTGGACATGTATCTGCACCATTCTGCTCTGCCTCTTCAGCCACGGGGTGGGCAGGGAACTTAGAAGGAAACCCCAGAAAGCAGCTTCTGCGTTCAGGAACAGACACTTCCTTGGAAGGGACTGGTATTGTATTTCCATTATAAAAGGCTCTAGTCCTTTCACAGTTATATACTTGAGTTATGAACTTGCTTTGGAACAAGTTAGATTGTGTTGGTATGAAAAGCTGGTATTTTTTCCACCTGGTGCTCTGGAGTCTAACTTTGGCTTAATTCCTTTTCTTCAGGCTGTCAGGTACAATATCTCTAAGTAAGAATCGATCTCCATAGCGACTGTAAGAGAGGAAACAATTCTGAACAAAGGTGATAACTGGTATTTATGTACTTAATATTTAAGCAAAAAGCACATAAGAAAGCGATAATCTGTCTTAGAAGGTCTGCATAATGTCTCTCTCAGCTCTGCCTTGTCTTTTGGGAGCCCACACCAATGCCTCTGAACTACACAAGCATGCAGATTAGATTTCTTCAAAACATCCCATGTACATGTTCTGGAATGGCTTTTGAACAGCAAGTTGTGTCCTTTTCCATTTCGGAAACACATGGGAAGAATCCTTGTCTCATTTAGGCACAGCTCTGAAATGGTATTTTATATGAGCTTGATGAATGCTAGAGGAAATGTCCTCCTGTTGCTGAAACAAAGCATTTGTTAGGGGCTTTTTGCTAACATGGATGCACCTGTGTGTTTCTCTGAATGACTGAAGCATATATACAGGGCTTCATTTCCCTAACAAACTTTGAGCGGGTTTCTTACTGGTCAAAAACTGTGGCCAGGATCACAGCAAGAGATCTTTATACAGAGCTCTCCTTTCATGTGATACAAGCTTGTGTAATGTGCAGTTTCTCCTTTTGGATCAGATCTGGCACTAGCTCCATGTTTTTTTCTCTTCTGAGTTTGAGACAGTTTGCAATGATTTATCCTATTTAGGACAAGATCATTCTCGGATTATCTTACAGATGTGCCTCCCTTGAATTTTGTTACCCACTACCCACAGGAGCAATGAAAACTTCTGACTGTACACTGTAATCTTTCAGAGGGAAGATGCTAAATGTACCTCTGCGCTTTGTGGAGTACAAGATACTTGGTGATGTTTAGCAAGTGTGTGTGTATGTGTGTGTATATATATGTGTAATATACATAGCCTATAACTGTATGTAGCTCTAACTATAGAAGTACACGCACAAGTATTACTGAATTGGCCTTGGCTTGTTTTTTTGATAGGAGAGAGATGAGAGAAGATGTGGAAGAGTAAGAACAACCTGGACCCCTGTCATACTTTAAATATATGGATGCACATAAAATTGACATAAACTTGCCATCTGGTGTTTCACGGTTGTAAAGAGGCCATAAAGTAGGCTTTGCCCTTGTTTCTTTCCCTCTTCAAAAATGACCCAATCTTTATTTAGTCTTCACCAAAACATATGTGCAGTTGCATGAACAGGAAGACGTAACCTTGAATCCCTTCAGCTCCTGCCTTTTTAGACAACTGAATGCATATAGCCAAAAACTGGCATCAGTGAGCAAGGCAGCTGCAGCACATTCCAAATATTGCTCTATTTAAAGCATCCTGAGGCTCACAAGAACAACTGCAGAGGCAAACCTTAAAACTTGCCAATAAAACTAGCAGAGGGGGGAATGGCAGAACCAGGTAAGATGCAAAGTTAACTGTGAGTGTAACAATGTATTGTTAAAACTCAAATCTGAGCAGTGTAATGTATTATTGTGTAGTACGCTATATATTTTACTCTTCAGTAAGAAAGTGTAATCAGTTTAAAAGTTAATTCTGTTAACAGCAACGAGTTTAATGTAGCTTGCGGTTCCTCCTGTATTTCGGCATCCTATTAGTTTTGTTTTCTTTGGATTTTTTGTAGTTGTAATTTTAAGTTGACTAACTCAATAAAATGGAGTGTGTTTGTATTGCTAACAGAATAAAATGAGTTATGTTTGACAGCGTTTTAAAAACGCTGTGTAGCTGAAATCTGAGTGTAACGCTAGGTGAACATATAAGACTTCATATTTTAACCCCACAAAGCCCAAGTGGCAGAGCAAAATGAAATTTTAATAATGAACTTTTCACTGTAAACACATTTCCAGTTTCTCCAAGGAGAAAAGGCATTTATAAAATTGCATATTACATTCATTGTAATTTTCTGTTTCCTTCACTGTAAGATGTAAGATTTATTTCCACTGTTTGAATGACAAAATGACTAAGTTTAAATATGGTGCTAGCTGTGTTCACAGGCAGTACTCTTCCTTGTAGGAGTAACTTTTTTAATATATCTTCACAGCTATATTAAGTCTCTAAAAGACTTTTATTTTCCTTTTTTTGCATTGTCATCACTGGTATCTAAGGATAGTGGAATTCTACTAAACGCAGGTACAACAGGACACTGAATGTATTTCTTAATTTTAGTTTTCATTGATATCTGCAGAAATCATACCGATACTGGTATTCTACTAGGAATTATCACTTGATCATATTTAGCATTGGTACGATGTGCATTGTTACTTGTGTTTAGTTTGGGGTGGGGTGTATTTATTTATTTATTTTAGAAGCACTGTGGCCGTAATCACTCAGATGTTCCAGGCTGGCATCAGCCCCAGCCCTTGGGCGGCAGCTGGAGTCACAACACTGGGGCAGCTGTGCTTGACTGCCTCTGGTCCTGCCCTGCACACCCTCTGCAAGGAGCAGATTAGAAATGGCTGGGCAACCTCGCTGAAATGAGTAACTGCCCAGTTCACATGGGTTTTAAATATGAAGCTGGCAAATGCCACCACCACAGGAGCCTGTCCACATCAGTGCTATGGTTCAGTTGTATCTTGGAGCACATAGGGAACACAGAAAAACTTGTCTGTTGGAGCTGGCAACTGGGAGACATGCAGGAGGCATGGTCCTCTGGGACACACACACATTCCCTCCCAGCCTGCTGACTAGTGTCATGTTCAAACTGCTGTCCCAGTGCTGAGTCAGTTGTCTGGCTGTGTGTGTGCCTGTACCCTGTATGGAATAAAATACAAAGAAAACTTTTGGAAAATTCTAAGGCATTTTGGAGTAGGGGATGTAAGACTGCGAGCCCAAGCTTGACAGGCTCAAGCAGGGAATCATCCCCTTCTCTACCTGCCAAGCCTCTGCCTGTTTATGGGGGGAAGTTTTTCTGCCATGTACTTTGGGGTACCCTCGTCAGTGCAGTTAGGCCCAGAGATTTCAGGGGTGAAGGCATCTCAGTGAGACCACACACATTGGTTTGCTTGTGGTAGCTGTCAGGAGTTTTGACTAACTACAGACTGCAAAATCAAGGCAACCTTCAGTTCTGGATAAAAGGTAGACACCTAACACTACAACCCCCCAAAAAAAGAAAATACAGTGATCAGCTTTAATTTCTCAGTATATTTAGGCTCTATTTAGCTTGGAAACCTGTACTGTGATATCCTGTAGCCAGTGGACCCTTGGCTTCATTGTGGTACCCAGGCATCCTGTGGAGGGCAATTCCAGAGGCTTTCAACCTGCAAAAGTACAAAGCTTGGGAGTCTGTCAATCCCATGCAGAGGAACCCTGCACAGCAGAAGTCATGTGTGTTTGCTGCTCAGACCAGCCTCTCTCTGTTTGAGATAAATTCATGTTTGAAGTAGGAAAAAAAATTATAATGGGGGAAAAAGAAAGTAATTTGTAGGTAGAATACAAGCTTACATACAAAGGTGACAGTAAGTTTCCTTCATTTATTCTTGCTGCCATCCACAACTGGCTTTTTATTTTCAGCAGGCTCTAGCTCAAAACCCAGAATCTAGGATTTGTTGCTTTGTTCTGTTTGAAAACATAACTTGTGACTGCTCCTCAACAACACGTTTCCCTCAGTATCCTGCTTTCATGTGAATTAATTTAAACAGTAATTATAATGAAATCTTTTGGTTTAGTCTGCACCTGTCAGTAAAGATTTCTTTCTTTCCAAAATGCAGCTGCCTAAAACTATTCTGTTCCTCTGCTGCTAGTCCCTCCATGCCCATCTCCACCTCAGGCTGGGAAGTGGATGACACAGATGCTCTCTTTCTGGCTGTTGGTGCACACAGCCTTGCTCCATGGTGAGGGATAATGCCAATTATCACATTTAGACTCAGGGTATTTTTCCCTTGGACCAAATATTAGGACCTTGGAGTTTGTCACGTTCTTCTGAGGTCTTACAAAGGGGTGATCTGCTTGGACATCTCATCCAGCCAAGCCCTAGCCTTGTGCTTACCTCATGCTTCAGTCTCTCCTGCTTGTGGCATAAAACACAGTCTTCCAAGCAGTTGACTTATCTCAAGTCTTGGGGTATCTGTCTTGTGACATAGAGGAGATCAGAGCAAATGATATCACGGTCATTTCTGTTCCTAAACTATGAAACACAAGTACTCCCAATGGCTCTCAGGAAACTCTATACTCTGGAGCCAGCTGCTTGCTTCTTTATGACAAATATTGGGCACAGCATTCCTGCTGACCCCCTGGGACTTGCCTGCCTCTCTTACTGCATTTGAACTGGATCTCATATAACAAAACACCATATTCAGTAGAGACCATGGCAACTCAACACAGCTCTGTCAAAATTCCCCCATGTATCCCAGCAGGATCCAGCCCTTTTTTTTTTTTTTAATAGGACCTGTAGAAAAAATTGCAAGTTGAGAGAAATGATTCCCAAAAGTAGCTTTACCTTACCAGGTGTCAAAGGAGTAGGAGTCTTTAAATGAAACTGGAAAAGGACTCCCCTGTGGCAAAAGGACTCTCAGCTTCAGAGCAGGATTTTGTCTTTGCTGTGTGGTTGCGTATCTGCTTAATATTTTTATGCCAGCTGGGTGGAGACCTCATAGCAGCCTTCCAGTGTCTGAAGGGGGCCTATAGGGATGGTGGGGAGGGACTTTTCATTAGGGACTGTAGTGACAGAACAAGGGGTAACGGGTTAAAACTTAAACAAGGAAGGTTTAGATTGTATATAAGGAGGAAATTCTTTCCTGTTAGGGTGGTGAGGCACTGGAATGGGTTGCCCAGGGAGGTTGTGAATGCTCCATCTCCGGTGGTGTTCAAGGCCAGGTTGGATGAGGCCTTGGGTGGTATGGTTTAGAGCGAGGTATCCCTGCCCCATGGCAGGGGGGTTGGAACTTGATGATCTTAAGGTCCTTTCCAACCCTAACTATTCTATGATTGTATGATTTTCTGTCTGTATTTTCCCTCAGTACATACACTATGTGGTATCATGGTGAGACATGTTTGTGCTGGCATAGCTTTAAAAAAGCAATGTGGAAACCCTTAAATTATTAAGCATCCCTCCAAAGTCTGTCTGCTTGATCTAAACTGTGCAAGGTGGTGTGAATAGTTTTACATTATTCATTAATCCCTTCAGAAACCTGGAAATCTTTCAACTGCAGAAAGATAATGCTTTGTTGTAATATAATGGTAAGTAATGCCATCTCAAAAGTTGATATGCTGCTTTCTGGTAAGCTTCTACTCTTTGCAGGGAACTTATAGGAGGGTCTTTAAAATTATCATTCTGTACAGAAGTGTATTTTTGCTAGTCCTGTTTTCAGCATGCTCCCTGAAAAACCATAACCTGCACTGGACTCCACATCTCTAGGTAATTGTTCAGCTTGCTCTAGTACTATTGCACAATATAGGCAGGACATCACATCTGTGCCCAGGCCAACTCAGCCAGGCAAGGTGTATTGTTATTTTCTTACTTGAAAGTAGGGAACATCCTTGCGGGTAATTCCATCAGTCTTAACTACCCCACATCACTGTAGTGACAGGGTAGGAGAGGGCTAAGTTGGGCACTGTGCACGGAGATGTGAGTCCCTGACACATGCCTGTTGGCGAACATCCCTTTGGCATGTAGGAACTCATACGGCATTCCCTCACTGCAGCCCCAGGCACGTTGATTGTAAATGGGTGTGATGATAGTCACTTCGTGGCTAACCTAATGAGACTTCTAGAAGGTGCTGTGTATGTCAGGGATAAGGTCCTCAGTTTGCCAGGACAGCTGCTGTCAATAAAGCCTAGTACAGATGTTCTGCTGACGACCTGTGGAGACCAAGGACAGAACCATGCTTCTGTCTCCTCCCCGTACCCTGCTGCTTTTGAAAGTGCTAAGCCTTGTACCTTTCTGATTGCAGAGGACATACCATGAAAATTTCTTTGGGCTTTTGCCAGGTATTCTTATTAGGAGGCTGCCAAGATACAGTGACTCCATGCTAAAAATAGCAATCATAGATAATGCAGCCTGAGCTCACAGGTATCTTTTTGCTCTGTGATAACTTGGTTCGATGTGATTAATTTAGTGATTTTTTTTTTTTTCAGTGTAACATGACCTTTCTGAAGAAAACCATCTTTTCTCTTTCAGCCCAAGTTCCGCTTTCACATCTCGTTGTACCTATACTCCTTGCAGCTGGCTGGATAGTGGGCTGTGCACTAATGGTTTACATTGTCTTCTCCTGATGGAAGTGAGTGACTTGTACAACATCAGGTACTATCTGTGCTTTCTTCGGTTTTCACTGCCACCTTTTTAAACATAATTTCCTTTGTCTTACAGGACAAAAGAATTCACAGTGATGTTGATTAGAAGAGCCTGGATGTTAAACTGAAATTTCTAATGACTATTATAAAATGATTTGGTTTTAATGTCAACACTGCAAACATGGTGTATGCTTTTTATCTACAACAGAAGTTTGAAATGCTAATTAGAGTTTTAGGAAGAATCATCAAACCAACTTTTCAGGTTTCAAATGGTTTGTAATTGATGGAGTAGTTTCTGGAGTCCAGCAGTAGGTCAGATACCTGCCTGCTTTGTTGTTGCCACATTGAATTGAAGCAGTTTTGGAAACTTTTCCCAGAGTTAGTGATGCATTGCTGGACAAAAAAAGTGAGTTCAGCTCATTTATAAGATGTGCTGAGCAGTGGAAGAAGTATCTCAATGTGTGTTGGAAAGTAGTAAGTGAGTTAAGACATTTTTTAAGTTTTGTAGTAAAAAATAAATTACTAAATTTAAAATATCATGGTGGTTCGCTTTCCCTGTCCCAAGATCTTCAGGGTGTCTTAAATAATTTTTCTGAAACTACATTACCTTCCTTTTATAAAAAAGCAAACAGTCAGTCACAGAAGCATACTAGCACATAAACCAAAAGAAGTCCTTTAGAAAATGAAAGGCAGACAGGGAAAGTTGCTTGGTAGCAATGCATCCTCAAATGTATGGCTTGGACTTTCTCAATTCTAAATATTTAATAGCATGTAGATAAATATGAAATTAACTGTTGGTCTCTTCTGTTTACATGATGCTCGGAGCCCAATACTGTATTTTTCCATTGATAACCAATCCAGTTCTTGCCAAATTAAATGCTGCTGGACTCATTGGGCAGTGAAGCAGATCGCAACCATGTGGAATTTAGCCCTGTTTTCTGGCATGCTGGCAGCCCCCCTCTGCTGGCACCAGCCAGAGTGCAATCCAGGGAGACCGGAGAACAAAGCTGCGATTCAAAATGAACCTAAATAACTAGTCTGGAAAAAAATGCAACACAATAGGTCTGAAAATTCAATTTCTGCACCTCGCAGGAGCTGTTAAAAAACTACGGGATGGAAACTACTGGCTGCATAGCAATTTTCAGAAAAGAGCCTGGGAATTGCCATGTATCACAATCTGAATTCAGGTCAGAAATGCCGTAAGGGTGGTGTGAAAAGAGAAACACTATCCTGGGATGATTACCAGAAAAATGCCTTGAGAGATGCTGAAGCCACCCCCTGCACTATAAGCAAGGGTTGGGCCTCCCCAGCCTGCTGCAGCTGGCTTGGCCACTGCAGGAACCAGCTGTGGGTCAAGGGGAAGGAACACAGGAGAGAGCAGTAAGAGGGAACTGAGACTGGTAATGTTTAACCAGTGAGACAAGAAGCACACTGGATAGGTTCAGTCTAGAAAAGAGCAGATGGAAGGAAATGTAAGTATTAAATTTACCAGACTTTCTGAAAGATGAAGTGAATAATCTCTTCTTGAGAACTAGCAAGTGAAGAACTAGCAAGTAAAATACAGGCTGTCCTTATGGTAGAGGTGCAGAAGTACTGGAGGAAGTTTTTAAGCATAATTATGTTAATATTGATTCCTGGAGGCTTTTGACAGGTGCACAAACATCCCCTGACATCCTGCAGGAATCCTTGTGATCCTGCCTTGGTGCTGGAAGGCAGCAATTTCGTATCTTCTCAGTCTTTATGACCAAGTACTCCCATGAAATTCTGCGGGACTGTTCTCAGAGACCTATAGGGATGCTTGGGAGGGACTATTCATTAGGGACTGTAGTGATAGGACAAGGGGTAACGGGTTAAAACTTAAACAGGGAAAGTTTAGATTGGATATAAGGAGGAAATTCTTTCCTGTTAGGGTTGTGAGGCACTGGAATAGGTTGTCCAGGGAGGTTGTGAATGCTCCATCCCTGGCAGTGTTCAAAACCAGGCTGGAAGAGGCCTTGGGTGAGATGGTTTAGTGTGAGGTGTCCCTGCCCATGGCAGGGGGGTTGGGATTAGTTGATCTTAAGGTCCTTTCTAACCATAACTATTCTATGATTCTATGATTCTGTGATTCTATGAAGCAATAGAACCAACAGATGGTAACAGGCAGGTACTACTTCTGATGTTAGGGTTTTTGGCATGCAAGGAAAACATTTTAATGCTGGTTGCAGTGTTAGGAAAAGTCTGTGTAGCATCGAATAGGAGGTGAGCTGCAGATCACCCACACTGCTTAGGTGAAGCCATGTGAAGGAAGGCAGCACTGTTGTCAGAGCAGCGAGACTGACTGTGAAGGCTCATGTTCAAATTTTTTAGCAGTACCTGATTTTTGAGAGTAGGAAGATCTGATTTGGCACAGTGAAACAGAATAACTCTCTAGGCTGGCTTCAATATTGTCAAGCTGACTTGCTAAGTACCAAGGGAAAAGATGTCTCCGCCAGTTTTGAGGAGTAATAAAAGCAAATTTATTCCAATGAAACACTCATCCCACACACTGACCACTCTGCAGTGTGGCCTTTTGCAACCACCTTCAGGACAACCCACTCAGGTGTCTTCATAAATGAAACTACACTGCTGAAACTTCCCACACTTGCAAGTATGTATTTGGTAATTGAAGGTTTGGGGTTTCTTTTTATTCTCAAAAAATAAAACAAGTGTTTGAGTACTGTGTCTTTTCTCTAAAATGGGGCAATGCTAGTGAGTTATGAGAAGAAAAATGTACAAATTTGTATTTCTTCCAAAGTTTGGGTCCAAAGTTACTGAAGTGTGGCAGTTTTTCTGTCACTGTGGCAGTAAGTAGAATGTTTCCACTGTCATGATGCTGGAGAGGATGCTGACTTCCTTTGAAGTATGATGCCATTGAGGTCTGAAGAGCTGTATTGCATCACCCGAGATCCAGTGCTCAGTGAGCAAAAGGTGCCTGCAAACCCTTAGGGTGGGCACATTTGTCAAGCCCCCTTTTCATATCTATTGTTTCCTTGCAGACAGGTGATTTTCTGTGATCTAAAGATTATTTTTACTCATTAATTATTAATATTTTTAGATATAAAAGTGGGAACATTTGACTTCTCATTCCAGAGAAATGCAGCCAAGCTTGTACCATGGCCTCTGCTTGGCTTTTCCCATTACCCACTGCACAACTATCCGAGTTGATTAGGGATGAGTCTCTGTGCAGTGCTGCATACAGCTTCCTGGTAACTGTTCCAACCTCTTGTTTACATCCTTTTAATGCTTGTAAGCCAGTTTAAGGATATTGGTATACACAAAAGTATAACTGTGTTTCTTTCTGCTGGGTACAGTGGAGCCATTGGGTGACAGCCTGCTTACCAGCGCTTAGCTTAAGGAGACCTTCCTGCCCCAGACCAGAACCAAAGGCAGTGGCTCCAGGGCACTTTGCCCACCTCTCCTGTCTCTTCTGCCTTGACGCTACCACCAGCACAGGGACCAGTTTAACCTGCCCCTTGACCCACTGGCTCCAGGCCCAGCTTGGCAGTGCCTTTCACACCTGGGTTTAACCATGTCACTAACTAACGGTGCTGCCCTAGCCCTGCTAGTAGACAGCTCCGTTTCCAGAGAAGCATTCACGGAGGATGAGCTTCCTTGCTCTTCATCTCCTCCCGGTTAAGAGTGGAAGGTGAAGAACACACCCATGGCAACCCCGGGCCACAGTCCCCGTGGGGCCTTCCGAGGCCTGGCCAACCGCGGTGCCACCGGCGGCGCACGCAGTGAACAACACCCCCTGCGGCCCCGGCGTGGTGTTCGGTGCTGGTGCTGCCCCGCGGGGGTGGCCTGATGGAGACCACGGCACGGAAAGAAGCCAGGCCCAGTGCGGCCGCTCTAACGTGTACCGGGTCACCGTGACCCTGCTGGAACACGAGCTGGGCAAGGGCACTGAGGGGCGGTGCCCGAGAAACTTCTGGAACGGGGTGGAGCTACTGAGGGGCGGGGCCCCTTGTTGCCCTGGGGACCAGGCGGTGGTTAGTGTGGGAGGTCAGTCTGGTAGGGTTAGCCTTTCGGCTGTCTTGGCAGGCGTTACAGCAGCGCCTCGTCCCAGGCTTGACTTAAAACCGCCTCTGGGAGGTGTTTCAGCATGGACTGGCATAGGTACAAGTCCTTGCCCCACCCCAGGCTGTGGGACGCTGGCGCACACCACCTGAAGCTTCGCTTTACCTGCGGTAGGGATGCTGCTGCCACAGGTAAGGAGCAACGTCTGGTTTTGTGTTAATTGTGAATGGGGATAGCTGATTGCTTAACTTTGTCTTATAAGAGTGCATCAGACCCGTAAAGCTTAAATGATTCAAAGTACAACAGTAATGGTGTTTCTGTCTGTGTGTAGAAATCGAGACCTACCTCAGACCCTATCAAAGTTTGCAGACCTGTTCTTGGTTCCCATCTGACAGTGCTGAGGAGGCTTAGCAGCTGTCTTCCTTTACGGGGGTTCTGTGTTCCTTTACTAGGGCTAGTGGCATGTGATTAATTAAGGTTGTTTTTTAAAATAATTCTGTTGTACAAAGCTGTGGAGAACATCGTTTCCAGTGTGAAAATACAGGATTTGAAAGTTCTTACCATTTCGTGAGGTGTTTTTTTTCCTTTTGAAGTTGCATAGCGGGGTTGCATTTTGTTTGTTTCAGTTCTTGTTTACTGACACCTTAAAAAAGTGATCCTGGGAAATTGGTGGTGTTTAGGTTAATTGATTTGCACGATGTTATTGTGCTTCACCAGCTGTAGGAGCTGGAGATGAATCCATCCTTGCCATGATCCAGCTGAAAGGGGCTGACCTGGCCATACCCCAGACTGGATACTTCATGTTACTGGTAACAGGTCAGAGCTAATAGCAGCCTCTTACTCTTGATGTTCATGTGGGAGCTGGGTACAGTTAGGAAGCCGTGCTGACTGGTGAAGGGTCTCTCTGGGGCATTGGGCCTGTCCTTTATTTCCAGCCCTCATCCCAAGTGTTCGCTCTGTTCCCTTTGTCTAGAAAGAGAGTTGTGGTCTCTCGGCCATTTGAAGAGGCCAGCTTGTACCTGTTTGCAGTCATGATGTGTTGATTAGTATACATCAGTATTTAACGTTTTTACAGCAGCAATGTTTTGGAGCCCTCAAGGTTGCAGTGTTTTCAGCCTGCTGCTATGCAAGGAGGTGTAGTCAGTGACCATTTCAGTGCCAGTGATTCATGAGTTGAGGTGATATGACAGGAAAACATTTGGAAGACGTTCTTTATTGTGAGGGTAGTGAGGCACTGGCACAAGTTCCCAAGAGAAGTTGTGGCTGCCCCATCCCTGGCAGTGTTCAAGGCCAGGTTGGATGGGGCTTTGAGCAACCTGATCTAGTGGAAGCTGACTCTGTCCATGTTAGGGGGTTAAAACTTGATAAGCTTTAAGGTCCCTTCCAACCCAAACCGTTCTGTGGTTCTCTGACAGGCTGCAAGGCAGATAGAGTTCACACCTACAATAATATTTTCTGTTGTTACTCATGAAGGTGTATGGTTTAATTAAAGGTTGTAAACCTTTTGTGTTTCAAGATAGCAGTGGTCATTGGAGGTAGTCTTAACAGGATGAAGCTGAATTACTTAAAACTGATTTAATAGATTATTGATTTAGTAATCAAATGGTAGCTACCAGTACTCTATGTAAGTACCTGATTCTGGGTGGTAATGAAGGGAGAAGGTCACCAGAGAAACTTCATACTTGAATGAGAGATCCTCCTGGAGAACAACAGTTAACTAGGATTAGGAACGTAGCTGATAGAGACAGCAGGCTTTACCGAGTCCAGTCCTGAAAGGTGTCCTCAGAAAAGGTAGGAAGGGTTTCTTTTAATCTGGGGGGAACATTCT